GCATGGCATTCAAGTACTACAAAACATGCTTCAAGTAAGTAATTTCTGGTATCCTACTCCCCGAAAACTGTTTGTAATAACCTGTTCTATGAATTACAGTAATCGCAATGAGTACGCCAACTGCGCCAACAATCCGCTGGGACTGATTGTTGATAAAAATGGGTAAGAACTCTAATTCTTAGAATTTTGTTTACATTATGGATTGGGTGTTACTGTAAGTTCAAATTTCTTATTAGCCTTTTGCAAATAAGCTGAGCAAGACGAGCCTTATCCTTATCGCTCACATTGTTCTTTTCGAGACTGTCGTTAGACTATAAACCAATTCCATATTCTCAAAAATGGCTTGCTAAAAGGATCATCAGATTTGTCATTTAGAATACTGAATATTGATAATTAGTTGTTGTGACTCAAAATGAATGAGTTATACTGCAGAACCGCAACCGGAATCACAGAGGATCAAGCTTTTGGTTATACTAAAATATTCAATCAATTCGACTTCTCCTGCGGAGCTGGATTTTCCGGTATAAATATCTCTGATTAGGGAAATGGTAAAACCTAGTTCCGTTGATTTTAGAGTTCACGAACAACGATGAGTGTGCGTCGACCGTTTTTCTCACTGGCATAAACGACATGAGAACTTGCGACAGTAATTTTGCTTCCTCCCTCAAAAGGGACTCAGAGCCGAGCAACACTTGCGCGTAAGTCACCAGCTTGAGGGTTATTATTAAAGGTTATTATTTTTCTTAGATTTCATAAAAAACTTGTTTAAGATACGTTGAGGTGGCCAAGGAATGCTACATGACAGCGTTCAGCAAAAGATGCGGCCAATATCCAGAAGTGGTATGGTGGGGATGTAATTACGAGCGCATCGGTACGCAAACCAATTATCCACAATGCAGCCAGATTTTCTGTACTTGTAAGTTTTACTCGTCTGCACAAAATCTAGGTTTAACTTTTCCAAACATTTGAAAAATGAATTCTTATGTTAATGTATGTATACTAGCGATTACTTAAACAAAATTGGGGAAGGGTGGAAGGAGGAAGAAGGGGTGTGCTGTTGGGAAAACAGTTTGAAACGCAAAGCGTAATTGGTATTACTCTCAAAAGTGTCTGCCCTACGAATTTTTCGTCGTTTTTCCGATTACGGTAGGAGATTTGAAAGCTATT